GCAAGGAATGACAGAGTTGGGCCGGGCCAATGCTAAACATGCCGTCAACTCCCTTTTCTCTGACGGCGGCGGCACTAACATTGCCGATGGCCTCACAAAGGGGCTTCAGACTCTTGAAAAGAGAAGTCATCGTAATCCTGTGGGGAGCATAATGTTCTTGTCCGATGGGCGGGACACTTGCCCAATGATTCTGATGGGCCAGCCCTACCTTCATCTATTGCCCCCATCCATGCGTCCCGGGATTGAAAAGAAGCCGTTCTCCATTCCCATCCACACATTTGGTTTCGGCTCAGACCACGACCCGCTTGCGATGCACGCCATCGCTAGCCTGTCGGGTGGAACTTTCTCTTTCATCGAGTCGTACGAAACGGTACAAGACGCGTTTGCAAAGTGCATCGGCGGCCTCTTGAGCATTGTGGTTCGTGACCTCCGCCTGACGCTGAGGTCAACATCCCATGGCGTGCGCATCAATTCGATTCCTTCCGGAAGCTACCCGAGCGAGATATCCGGCCTTCAGGGTTCTCGTGGGGCGATCACCATAGGAGACCTTTACGCGGATGAGGAAAAAGATTTCCTAATCGACATATCCGTCCCCGCGTACGCCTTCAGTGTCGAAGAGGATGAAAATGAAAATGAAAGGCGGACCCCACTTGTGGACGTCACGTGCTCGTACAAGGACGTGGCCTCGAACGAGAGGGTAGAAATGGAGTCTGCAGAGATACAGCGCCCAGGTTTTGTGGCTCCTGCGGATATCAAGGTGAAACTGGAAGTCGACCGGCAGATGAATCGGCTGCATGCTGCCGAGGGTTTAGCGGAGGCCCAGCAGGCGGCCGAGAAGGGGAATCTCGAAGAGGCGCGCGCGATTCTGTCGAGCACAAGGTCGACTGTTACGGCCTCGGCGTCGGGCCAGGCGGGAGACGGGCTCACGCTGCAGCTGGAGGCGGAGATGAGAGAGACTGAGGAGAAAATGGGGTGTAAGAGGACGTACGAGCAGGTGGGCCGGGCCTATGCCCTGTCGAGCATGAGTGCACACTCGAACCAGAGGGCCTCTACCAGGCGCCGGGCGGGGTCGGGCACGACTGGGGATGCCTATGCGACACCTCATATGGCTAATATGGTGAGCAAGTCTCATCAGGTGATCAAGATTGAAGATGTCAAGGAGGAAGAAGATTAGACTTTCTTTTTCTTTTCTCATTATGGATATTTGCTTGGGTTATGCGCTGGACCAATATTTTATCTATCTTTTTGACTCTTCTTTTGGTAAGCCTCTTATGTCCCTTTTGTTTAAGGTGTTCCAACTTTATTATTGCATCTTAATATCTCTTTTGTTTAAGGTGTTCCAACTTTATTATTGCATCTTAATATCTCTGATGATTAGCTGAATTATTGCATATGAGAAGAAATTCAATAATCTGGTACGAGAAATAATAATGTTGTTTTTCTCTTATTAATCAACACAATCACATTACATGGAGGAAAAAAATCGAAATGACACATAAATATATATATATATCAAAAGAACGAAACCATTTCCATCACGTGGCTTAAATGTTGTTGATCAGGGTCAACAGCTTCCTGCCACCGGGCCCACCCCGACAATGTTGCTCCCGCTCACAAGGCCGGTGGTAGGGATTGGCTGGTGTCTTGGGAGGTGAACCGGGGATTCGACCATTCCCCATAGCCGGGTAGGTTATGTATTTATTAGCCTCAGCCGGTGATGAAAGGAAAACGGTCGCAGCAAGCATCAGTAGTGCCAAGGACACTATAGTTGAAATCCTCGCCATGCTTGCTACGCCCGTCCGCCCTTTATTTTTATGTGTCGTTACTTATATTTTTGTTCGTGTTGCTTTCCTTATACTGTTTTCGGGGATTATATATATAGTGCCTAGGAGTACTGAAATCATTTGCGTGAAATTTGTATGTCCCTTGATATTTTTAGTTAATTTGGTTATTTTTAGTTGACAAGTTTGGGGGATAACTATTTTAATTTGTCTGTTGATCATTAAAATTTGCTAAGCTCTTTCAAATGTGTCCGGTGGTTTAATTAGCGGACCTCCGACGTTGTAGGTACGTAGATTATGAGGTTTCTGGAGATCATTGGCAAAAACAAGTTGATATATTGGTGGAAAAATATATATTGTTTTTAGGAAAAAGTCGAATATAACCGTTACCCGTGGATGATCCTTGTTTTTCTAATTGTTGGATTATCATATATTATGACTACAATTTGTTTTTATTTTTTTCAGTGATAATCCTTGTTTTTCTAATCGTTGGATTATCATATATTATGACTACAATTTGTTTTTATTTTTTACACTGATAGTCGTTCTCAGTAGAACTCATCCCTATGTGTTTATTGTATTCATATATATTGTTATTTGAGACGACTTGTGTAATGCGGGAGTCTACTGCTATGTATAATGTTGTTGGAGATGACTCTTGGTGTCTCTGACGGCATAGGAGATCCTGCAGCAAAACGTCGCATACATATAATGTCGTCGGAAATTATTCCCAGGTGTCTGCGTGCGTGAGGGCGAGAAATGTTAAACAATACATTCGACATGTTTTTGGGGAGAAGAAAACTGTCTTTCTTGCTTTGGTACAAAATGAGACTACAAATATATAGAGTACATAATGAGATAAACAAGGAAAGAATAAATCACAAAATTTCTAAATCGGATCTTGAATATCTTGTTGATTATCTTGATTGATTTGGTCAATTCTTTTCCTTGTAAAACTCTGATACTCTATCTTGTTCCAACACTCCCCCTCAAGCTAAGTGACGGGATTTCCGATACTTAGCTTGCTCAGTACTTCATCAAAATTTCTCGAGTCAACGGCTTTTGTGAGTATGTCGGCCAACTGATTCTTCGACGGGACGAAAGGAAGAGCGATGATTTCTTGTTCAATTTTTTCTTTAGTAAATTGACGATCAACCTCCACATGTTTTGTCCGATCATGTTGGATGCGATTCTCTGAAATGCTGATGGCTGCTTTGTTATCACACATCAATCTACACGTCTTTCCAGAAAATAACCGAAGCTCCATGAGTAATCTCCGTATCCACAGCACTTCAATAATCCCACTCTTGATTCCTCTAAATTCTGCTTCAGCACTGGATAAGGCCACGACCTTTTGTTTCTTGCTCCTCCACGAAACAAGGTTGCCTCCAACTAATGCAAAGTACCCAGCTGTAGACCTCCGATCAACCGGATTTTTCGCCCAGTCCGCATCTGTGTAGGCAAGAATCTAAAGATGTTCGGCCTTTTTGAAGAAAACTCCATAATCGAACGTCCCCTTCAGATATCTTACAACTCTCAAAGCTGCCTTCATGTGTTCGATCTGAGGCCGATGCATAAACGACATATGCAATATCTGGACGAGTGTGTGACAAGTAGATTAGTTTTCCTACAAGCCGCTGGTACCTTCCTTGATCTGTCTCTTCTGCTCCTTCTGTGATTTGTAGTCCATGATTAATTCTATAGGAGTAGGTGCTGGTTTGCAATCCATCATTCCTGTCTCTGCCAGAAGATCCAGTGTATACTTCTTCTGGCTCATAAAGATTCCCACCTTCGATCTCAGAACCTCAATACCCAAGAAATACTTCAATCTTCCCAAGTCTTTCATCTCAAATTCTTTGAAAAGATTTTCTTTCAGTCGAATAATTTCCTCGGAATTATTCCCTGTTAAGATCATATCGTCAACATAAATGATGAGACAAGTGATAAGACTCCCTCGGTGTTTACTCTGTTGGAAGCCATATTTCTTCATGGCTTCTATAAATCTCCCAAACCATGCTCTTGGTGACTGCTTCAGCCCATATAAAGTCTTCCTCTGTCGGCATACCTCATTTTCATTAAACTCGAATTCAAACCCTAGAGGCGGCAGCATATACACTTCTCGCTTCAATTCTCCGTGTAAGAATGCATTTGTTACATCAAATTGGAGTAGATCCCAATCTTGATTAACTGCAATAGATAAGAGGACTCTAACAATGTTCATTTTCGCCACGGGTGAAAAAGTATCTGCATAGTCAATCCCATATGTCTGAGCATACCCTTTAGCCACGAGTCGAGCTTTATACCTGTCAATTGAGCCATCTGGCTTCCGTTTGATAGTAAAGACCCATCTGCATCCAATCGGCTTCTTGCCAGCTGGTAGTTGACATTTCTCATATGTCTTATTTCGGGCTAACGGCTCCATCTCCTTGTCAATAGCCCCTTTCCAGTTAGGATTCCGAAGAGCCACTTCCTCTGAATGAGGAATAACATCAGAATAAAGTGCATCCTGATATTTTGAAGCATCATCAGACAAACTCAGCTTTGCTAGAGACCCAATAGAGTATCTGGACTGCCCTTTCCGGTCTGGAGAATACCGTTGAGGTGGAACTTCTCGATTATGTCTAGGTGGAAGGATCCGCCTAGACTCTCTATATGTTTTTGTATGCCCTTCAGCTCCAGTGTTTCTTACATTAGACATCTCAGAAGAAGAAACATCATTAGACGTGGGCCCAAAGTCTGAATTTTCAATGCTTCGAGATTGTTCATCCTCAGGTTCTGCTTTTTTGAGCTCAAGTTCTCCAGAGAATTCGACTGTGTGATAAGAGGGAATCTAGGACTGATCTTGGTTTTGGTTCTGGCTTTGTGTTGGATGGCTTTGATTTTGGTTTTGGGCAGGACTAAGAAGAAGCCAGCCTAGCAAGTCATTAGAACTCTCCCCCTAACTGCTAAGATGGTTGGAGTAGAAGTACTCGGTTTCAAGGAAACTACAGTGTATTGTGGTACTGATTTGTTTGGTTTTTGGGTTATAACACCGATATCCCTTTTGATGGATTCCATACCCGACAAAGACACACTTTTCAGCACACGGGGATAATTTATTTCGTTCGTGTTTTGGAATATGGACAAAAACAGAACACCCAAAGACCCGAGGCTGAAGAGATAGGTAGAATGGAAGAGCTGCTTGACTAGACAAAATATCTAGTAGAGTTTTGAATTTGAGAGTTTTTGTCAGGAGTCGGTTTATGAGGTAAACAGAAGTAGCTACTACTTCGGGCCAAAAAGAAGCTGGGACTTTAGATTCTAGCATCATAGCCCAGGTCATTTCGAGGATGATTCGGTTTTTACGTTCAGCTACTCCATTTTGTTCGGGTGTATAAGGACAAGAAGTTTGGTGGATTATTCCCTTATTGAGACATAATGTTTTGAGATTGGTATTCACGAATTCCCCCCATTATCCGATCTAAGAATTTGAATATTTTTGTGGAATTGTGTTTGGATCATAGTATAAAAATGGGTAAATTTTTCGAAAACTCGTGATTTAGAGTCGAGAAAATATACCCAGGTCATTCGTGTAAAGTCATCCACAAAAAGTAAAAAATAACGACATTTAAGGCCCCCAAAAACAGGAGAAGGCCCCCAAACATCAGAGTGCACAAGAGAAAACGGGGAAAGAGTTCTAGTATTATAAGTAGGAAAAGAATGTCTGTGGCTTTTCGCCAAAATACACGTCTCGCAAGGGAAATTATGATGTTTAACTAAGGCTGGGAAGAGAAATTTAAGGTAGTTAGTAGAAGGGTGACCCAACCTCCGATGCCACAGCCAAATATCTCGTTCGGAAGAACCATGAGCCAATAGTGCAGTACCTTTGGAGTCAATCTTGTCCACACAGTAAAGTCCATTCCTTTTAGTGCCACGCCCAATGATCTCCCCCGTCCGGATATCCTGTAACAAACAAAAATGCGGGTGTAGAATTAAGGTGCAGTTTAATTCTCAAGTGACGTGACTGATAGACAAAAGTTTGTGCGACAAGGAGGGAACATATAAACAATTTGACAAACGAATGAACTGAGAAATTTCAACAGTCCCACCCCCAACTACAGTAGCTAGATCCCCACTAGCAATTTGAACGTGAGTTCTTCTAGGTTTTAAGAAATTTATAAGATCAGATTTGTCAAATGTCATAATATCTGACGCACCACAATCGAAAATCCAAGCACTATTCTTTTTTGACATTTTTTCACAAGTCTTAAGACCTTTGGACATAGATGAGGAGCAGTGTGGTAAGTTGACATGTAAGTTTGGGGTTGGTAATTTACCAAACCCTATACCTGAATTCATTTACGCCGCTGCCGATTCATTTCTCCCCTCATATGAACTGCGATGTTCTGTCTGA